CATGAGCATGAGCATTTTTATTTCAGAAAGGAATATACATCAACGTTTTAGTTGCAAAAACTAATTCCCACAAAAAATGAAACTATCTCCTTACTTGGTCCACTTTCCTTAAAAGAGTAACAACTGCTTTGAGTTTGCAGGTTTTTAACTATTGTATGATTATTTGTCACTCTCTAATTTTAAACTGTAAACTAAATAGCATAATTTTCCTAAGTGCCTGCATTAGTGCCCAATTCTATAAAAATACAGAACTAAAAACACCGAGCAAACAAAAAACTAGAAAGGAAATACAACACAACAGATAATCACCAAAAACATTTCAGATCATTTTAAAAACAAATTACAGGGAAAAATTATAAAGTGCTGGTTTACCAGGAACAAGGATTCTGCAGCCACAATGCCACTATCAAGAATTCTTTTTTTCTCTATACCACAGGCTGCTACTGTTAGTGGCATCTCAAGCAAGTCCTCATAGTAGATCACAAACAATGTTCAACCAGTTCTAGAGAAACTGGTAGTTGTGTGTATCTGAATTCTTCATGATGCAGAGCTTTATAATAAATAATAATTGATTTAATGATATCTAGTAGCTTACAAGCAACCAGTGCAGCTTCTGGATTGTCTCCAAGGACAGCCCCATGCAGAATGCATTAAGGAATATTATTGTAACATTATTATGAAATAGATTAGTAAAGCCAGGCTGCTCCCATTAATCAAGGATAAACACATCTGTTACCACTTGAAGCAACTTACGCCTTTAGTGACTGCACTGAATCAAATGGATCCTTCAGTTTATATATCTATTATTTGGGATTAATAGTCTTATCCAGCATAGGTCACCTTCTCACTCTTCCAGAATCCCCAAACCACCTATTCACTATGATACTATTCAATGCTTTTGTTTATCCCTCAGTTTATTGGCCTTCTTCCAACCAATCCTGTTCCTATTCAACATCTGCACAGCCTATTCTAATTCTGAAGGAATTGTTGTGTTGATAACACATCCAAAATCAATATCATATAGGTATTAAACAAGGGGAAATTTTTGCAGAAGGCTACAAACTATGCTGTATAGTCAAGCAGAATATTAATGATTCTGATGATATTAAGAATTAATATATTTTATCTGATATCCTAATAATTGCTATTTTTTCTTTTTTGGAGAAACATGTCCTGTATATCCCACTGTTCAGTACAACTTTCAGGGCAACTTACAAAATCAATATGAAACAAAACAAATGAAGAAAAAGAATATCAATTAATCATAGTATAATTGTACTGCTGTTCTGACATTCTGAGACAGTCAAGCAACACAATTCTGCTATTTACATTCATTAAAATACATTAAGCTGTCTGATTTCTAAAATGCCTTGCTTCAGTTCCTGATGCTCATTCTGATGGCCCTATTCCTCCTGAAGGGATCCTGGGGATTGTCTGTCCCAAGCTTTTAGATTTAAGACATTGGGGTGGAAACCAGGAGACTGGGAAATCTAGCATTACTTTAGGCATGAAAGCCACTTGGGTGACTTTGGCCAATCATCTTTCAGACAAACTCACCTCACAGGATGGTGGTTGTTATGGGAAAAAATAGGAGGGAGGAGTATTAGGTATGTTTGCCTTGAGTTATTTATAAAAATAATAAAGGTGGGATTAAAAAAAATCTCAAAACCTCCACCCCATTCTGGGTCCATTATTTGAGAGCTATTAACTCCAGAAGCAGATTTCAAATTAATGCTGCTAAAAGCATAAGCGATCACTCTATTTCAAACTTTAATTTATATTATTTCTTTTTAAAGAAATAGAGAAAAGAAAAATTGCAAATATGTGAAGTTAATAGAAGTGACATTTTGTTTTTGTTTTTCATTCAGATGTTACTGTTGCAGTCTTATAATGAATTTTCTATGGCGTTGCTGCACATAGTATCCACATTCATCTATAACAGCTGTGAGTTTGAACTACATTCCCCAGTGCTGGAACTGCCATCCTGCCGGCTGCATCTCATCAAATATCTCATACAAGAAAGGCACCATCATCACTCAGACAGAGAGAGAGATGAAGAAAAAGAGGACCAATGAGGATGAAAGAAAAACACAGAAAGAAGAAAATTAAACTGTTCTCTTGTTTTAAAATAGAGCCATACAATTCCCCCCATGAAGCCACTTTCCCCCAGCAGGTGAAGATCATACTACTGAAATTTGCCAGCAAAATGGCTGATTTTCTACAAAACACATTGGAACCGTGCAGTATTAAGAGAGCAGAAATGAGAGTGTATTCCTTCTGTCAGGTGTCTCTCACTCTCAATTCTCTTAGTCCCATTCCCATCAACTGAGGAGCTCTGGGAGAAGCAGCAGCAGAACAGATGTCTGGAGCAATGAGGGCATAAAATAAAGAACGAATGTGATGCAGCATGAATAAGAGCTCATGTTTCAGCTTACACTGTGGTGGTAAGATCTGTGAATTGTTTGCTTTGATTGCATCGGTAGATAGTAGCCTTGTTTAATGTTCCCTAGACCATGCTAGGAAACGCCACAGCTGGAAACGGAGCTGCTGGCCACTGCAAATAATCTCATAATATTTTTCACATTTGTTTGGAGCTTGACACCAGTTGGCCAAATCCAGCTGAGGTGAAAGAAGCCTCATCTTGTCAGGTTATATGGGATTGGTTTGAGCCTGTGGACCCCGAGGAAATGCTTTGTGTTAACAGCTTTGTCATACATAAACCATATGCCCTGCCCTATCTTGCTAGTGGAAGCTGCCAGGGAAGTGATGGAAGGCTGAATCTGGGCAGAGGTGAAATCATCTTTGAATAATAGTCTTCTTATCTCTGCCTTAGAAAAAGCAATGATATATCCTCTCCTCAAGAAACGATCACTACCTTGGACTATTATTTACTAGCTACCAATCTTTTGTTCACACAGAAGATTAAGAAAATGATAGGGCTGCAGTTCCAGAAAACCCTGGACGAAGTAGAGTGTCTGCATCCTTTCAGGTGGGATTCAGACCTGGGTATGGGATAATCATTGGTTACTTAGGTTGATCATCACTGATGGGATTGGGATGGAGAATTCACCTTCCCTAATTCTACAGTATTACAGTATATCTCTCACTTCTTTCAACACCATCAACCATAGTTTCCTTCCGAGGCTTCTGCAAGGCCATATGGTGGGAGGTACTGTTTTGCAGTAGTTCTCCTCCCTCTTCAGTGAATAGACCTAGACTAGAAAGGCTATGTCCTCAGGGTCCTAGTTAATAGAGAGCAGGAGTGCTATTCAGCAGGTTCTGACAGGTTCTGAAGAACCGGTAGCAGAAATTTTGAGTAGTTGTTTTGAGAACCAGCAAATATCACCACTGTCTGATCCCAGAGTGGGGTGGGAATGGGATTTTGCAGTATCCTTCCCCTAGAGTAGGGTAGGAATGGAGATTTTGCAGTATCCTTCGCCTGCCATGCCCACCAAGCCATGCCCACCAAGCCACACCAAGCCACGCCCACAGAACCGGTAGTAAAAAAAATTGAATTCCACCACTGGTAGAGAGGCTATGTCCTCAGGCATTCTGGTGTGCATGAGCTGTTTCTCTCTTCACTTTAGCATCTACAAAAAGTCATTCATCAGCAAAGAGTGAGCTAGCACCAAAATATTAATGATACTCGGGAGATACAGTGGAGGTTTGACCTGGTGCTTGGAGGCTATTGTACTCTGGATGAGCAAAAACAAGATTAAGATCAACCCTAGAAAGATGGCAGTAGACTAGAAAGCTGACTAAATATGGAGTGTGCAAAGGAGGGTCTGTCCCTTGGGAATGCAAATTAAATTAGAACTGCCCAAGGATCCCTAACAAACTTGCTGAAAGATAATTAACAAAGGGAATATTATCAAGATTATTTTGATGATATATGGATATTTGTCTCCTAGTTGGAGACAAATATTATGGAGCACTTCTCTATACAGAAAGGGTGACAGAGAAAAGAGCATCCCACTCAGAATGGCAGTAACATTGGTTTAATATTTTTACTGGGGAAAAATGCCTTTGTCAGCAGGGTTTAATTTCCATTAAATCAATTTATTACAGCTTAATTTGCATGAAATTAAATGCAGTCCTTATTCAAAGAACCATCACTCCCTTAAATCATTCAGCACTGGGAACTGATCATAGGCCTAATTAAAAACTTGACTGGAGCCATGCCTACCTATTCCCCTTGTAACATTCAGCAGATCTGACAAGAGCCTTTGGGCTCTCTTAACTTAATTTGCATTCCTAAGGGACCATTCTTTGCTAACTTGGCAAAAGTATCTTCCACTTCTGGACCTGTTATGCCAAAACACTTGTGTTCCTGGAGTCAGGACCAGCTGGTTCAGTTGTCCTTTTGAGGACCTATATTTCTGTCAGTTGAGAAATACAACAATGAAAAGTTTTCTGGCTACGAAGATGAAGAGGCTGAGATGCTATTTATACCTGTAAATATCTAATTCTTTGGGGGGAGGAAATCCACAAATTTCAATATGTGTTGAGGATTTTAAAATGTTCTCCGCCCCATACTCAAACACAAGAATTTTGGGGTTTAGTATGCATTTGGTGTTCTTTGTGTCTGAAGTTGAATTGCAGCCTTGTTTACATTCAGACAAAAGGCTCCTTTGGGACTTGATTTTATCTTTGGTCCAGTGGACAGCATTCTTCAGGGAAGACTCCATAGCTCATTAGAGAAATACATGTTGAGAAAGAAAATCACTATTTCCACAAAAACAGGTAAGATAGCAAACAATGGGCAATTTCTTTCTTTGCTAAAAGCCAGAGGATTTCTCCCAGTTAGTGAACAGTCCTGAGCTAGTCTGAATTGGCATTACCTTTGTAATAGTGATGTTATTTCTGGTGAAAGATGGCTTGATGGGCTACCTTTCCATGGATTTTCCCAGTGACTTCCCTAACTAAAAGGCTTACACGAGCCATGCTGATACATGCCATTATCTCTGATCCGAGACAATGCTACTGAGTGGCTCACTTACCTCTTTGATCCTCTGCAAAAGAGGGAGCAGCCAGTCCTTGTTCACTTCACAGTGACTGTCTAGAAAGGTAAGAACCCCTGCTTGGGCCACATCTGCTCCTCGAATGCGGGATCGGATCAAACCTGTAACAGCGGACATGAACTCAAACAAAGGTCTGGCTGATACAAATTTCTAAGCAAGAAATTCAGTTGCTAAACAAGCATACAGATTCCTCAACTTAATTCATGTTTAGCCTTGCCTAATCAACTCAACCTTTATGGACTTAAAAATGATATGCCATTTTTTAAGATGCCTGAGCCCTGTTATTTTTCTGCGTTGCAAAGTCAGTGGCCCAAACAAAAAGTTGGGCAAAAGAAGTACGATCATTAAAACCTCCTACATTTATATAATTCTTTCCATTGCCTCTGCAAAGGGAAGTCAAGATGCCAAAATGCTGGTTCTGAAAAATAAGATAATATCATATAACTAAAACAATCCCTCTTTTTGCCTAAAATACAGTTTAAAACAAGGCTTTCAGACTTTCTTAAGAAAAATCTAAGGATAAACATATAAATACTTCTTAATAGGGATGGGATCACTTCCCTAACCACAGCTTCCTGTAAATTATTCTGCAAAAGCAAATTGCTTCAAAAACAAACAGCAAATACAATTTGCATTGCAGAAACAAATGACAAATACAATTCCCAGTCGGCAATCACTTCCCTCAATTACAGGAATTTTCTGATGCATTTTCTGTTTTTCATTAATGGAGAGCTAAATTTCTCTTTTGTGACAATTCTAATATAGCAGAACACTGGAAGAACAGGGCAACAAGATATAAATGAGTATATTACATGAGTTAAATATACTTATGTAATATTATAATTTCTCCATCATCCCCAATTATTGATTTATTAATTAATGAGTAATACATTGAGGCCAACTTATAGGGATAAGATAAAAGGCTCCTTTTTATTCTTAAGTTTGATCGATGTTACTATGTTATCATAATAAGGAGAAAGGTATATCCTTTTTAAACTGAATGGCAATTTTAATTAAATAACTTGATTTTGCAATATTTGTTTCAATAGAAAAGAATGTCTATTGTTCAGGATTGAGTCCTCGGTACTGTCTGGGTTTGGTTATTGGCTTGAAGACATTTCATTACCCAACTATGTAGCAACATCAGTGTGAATGTGGGGTTTGCTGTCTGTCTATATACAATAGCTTGCCCTGTGTATTCCCAGACAATCCTAATAAAACATATGAGGCACCCAGAACACCTATTTTGTTTACATATTTATACTGTTTTCAGTTTCAATACCTCAAAACTTTACTGGAGCCTAATAGTCTCATAGTGCAATTGTAGAGTTTCAGTGGCTAAAAAAAAAATCCAAGGAAGTTGTTTCCATGGTCCTCAGGAGGTTTGTTTAATTAAAGAAATGGTACAGAAAATGACATGCTTTACAAAGCAAAACTTTCATTTTACACCTTGGATCTCTCCATATGGATTTGCTTAATCCCATCTCTCCTGTTTTCTTAACAAAATTAAACCTAGAATATATTTCTTAATTGGGCCTACATAGCAAAAGATTTAAGTGGTCGTTGCTTTAGCATGTTGGGTGAACAAAGCCATCACAATAAGCCATAATATGAATGTTGTGGCATTGTTTGTAGCATAAGAATTGAGTTCTGTTAATGTGAAGTTAGAATATCACTTGTATGAATACAGCCATCAAGAGGTAAAGTGTAATAGGCTCAGTTCAGACATGATTTTAATTGTATTAGGCAACCAAACATTCTTGGTTTGAGGAAGTCCAGATTTAAGTGGAGTGACCACACATTCTGTTCCATAATACAGTCTTGATTAATATTTGGTTCTTTTATGTATGCAGGAATAACCTTGAGGGACAGGAGAGAGAGCCACAGAATGGACAACTGGCAAATAAAAGATGTCTCAGCCCACAAAAGGAAAAAATGGAGTGGGAAACATTTCAGAAGGCACCCTCCCTAGTTTTCTGAAGAATAAAATGAAAGGAGGAGAGAAATACATTCAATCTTCCAATGTAACTTTACAACAAAGGTAGAATTAGTATTTGTGTGTCTTGTTTGGGCTACCTCAAAGGGCAATTATATGGATAATACAGTAATGGGTTCCACTTACCTTTGCTACCAGTTTAGAACCGGAAGCACGTGTGTGTGCTCGCTTCACTCGCACACGGCACTTCTGCGCATGTACAGAACCTTCTGTGCATGCACAGAGCGTCCATGATGACGTCCGGGCGAGTGAGTGGAGCGGAATGGGCGAACCGGTAGAAACCCACCACTGGGATAATAGCTTTTGGGAAATGGCAGTGACTATTCCTTTCCCACCATGACCCAAATTATTTTTTGTAAATCCTGTTTTTCACCCAATTTGGGTAGCTTCATATGATGCAAGCACCATCTGGATAACAATGTCCATATTGAGGCTTATTCACTACATAGATTGGTTCCCTGAGTTGCTCTATGATTGATCTCTCTTTCAATACAACTTGCCATTTTTGGGTAACATGGAGAAAATGTTATGGATTCTTCAGAAGGAATAAAAGGAGTCTATAAAGCCAAATAAGTCAAGCTTTAAAGCAGGATCTGAGACAGAATCAATCCTCAATAGCCCTAGAACTCAAAATCCTAGATGTGCCAGACCTACTCTAGCCCATGAATGGCTGCATCAATATGAAGACTATCAGAAGATGAAATGGCAAGAAAGTGCTTGCTTATAGTTCTAGACATTTTATTTGGAATTAAATCGAGTCATATTGTCAATTGTGACATTCTCTAATTCGATTAGGAATGCATTTCTAGGCTTCTGGGAGAGTCTTAGGTTCAGGAATGCTAGTGCACCTCTTACTAAGTGTGCTTAAAGCTAAAGATTATTTCCACTGAGTTTGAAATAAAGTATGGGAAATCATATTGCATTGTTTCCTGTGAATTAATTTATGTATCGGGTACTGGAGGGGAGGAAATAAGACAATGAGATAGAAAGCACATCAGCACACTTTTAATTTACAACAGCATAACTAAACTAGAATATGATACAAAAAGCAAACAAGCAATCTATATTTCTCTTTTTTTTTATAGTGCATACATTCATAAACAGCTAGATAACAGGATAACAGAGTTGGAAGAGATCTTGGAGGTTTTATAATCCAATTCCCTGCTCAAGCAGGAAGCCCTATACCCGTGATGGCAAACCTAAGGCATGAGTGCCTGAAGTGGCACATGGAGCCATGTCACCTGGCACGCACGGTGCCGCCCGTTCCTCTTCTGGGTTTCTGGTGCGCATGCACACGCACAGATCAGCTGGCCTTTGTGCATGCAGCAGTGCCAGAAACCAGAAGAGCTGGTCTTCCATTTTCTGGTGTGAGCATGCATGCCGGCCAGCTGATCGGCGGGTGCACATGTGCGGCAGTAACTGGAAGACTTGCTGGCTGGCTTGCATGTGCGCGCCGGAAACTGGAAGTACCTTATCCGGCATGTGCATGTGCCCTGGGCAGCTCCTCTTCCTGGTTGTGGCCCTGATGAGCACGCATGCATGAAGTGCACACACACACGTAAAGTGCTCCCTTTTCGGCACTTGATGCCACGTGCGCGCGCGCTCGCCATCACTGCCCTATACCATTCCAGACAAATGGTTGTCCAATCTCTTCTTAAAAACCTTCAGTGTTGGAGCACCACAAGTTCTGAGGCAAGTCATTCCACTGATTAATAGTTTTGTCAGGAAATTTCTCCTTAATTCTAGGTTGGTTCTCTCCTTGATTAGTTTCCATCCATTGCTTCTTGTCCTGCTCTCGAGTGTTTTGGTGAATAGTTGCCCCCCTCTTCTTTGTGGCACACCTTTAGAGATTGGAACATTGCTATCATGTCACCCCTAGTCCTTCTTTTGATTAAACTAGACCCAATTCCTGCAACAGTTCTTCATATGTTTTAGCCTCTAGTCCCCTAATCTTCTCTGCACTCTTTCTACAGTCTTAACATCTTTTTTATATCGTGGTGACCAAACTGGATGCAATATTCCTAGTGTGGTCTTACCAAGGCATTATAAAGTGATACTAACTTCCCATCATCTTGATTCTAGCCCTCTGTTAATGCAGCCTATGATTGTGTTGGCTTTTTTGGCAGCTGCAGCACACTGCTGCCTCATATTTAAGATCCTTGATTCACTTACTAAACACTTTTTCCCCTTGTAAACCAAGGTTAAAATGTATCAGTTTAAACTATGGTTTGGGGAAGAATGAAGTACAGATGTTACCAGTTAATAGTCTCTTTAGCCTACTGTAGCAATATACATCTTAAATCTTTAAAACACAATTTAATGAAATGTATTTTAAAATTTTAGAATCCTAGAGAAACATCATGAGCACTTTCCTTTGGTTTGTTAGAACAAACAACTTTTTTTAAAAAAAAAGAAAACCTGGGGATCTGTTTTGTTTGATTCTCATTTTCCAACTAAGAAGAGAGACCAATATATATTAATAGAAGAATCACTTAATATTCCATTCATTCCAGGAAAATTTCTTAACTTTGGCCCTCAAATGTGTTGGAACTAAAATTCCTATGCGGACTGGGAATTCAGGAAATTTTAATCCCAACACATTCAGGGACCATCAAGGTTGAAGCTTTACAACTAAGGGAAGTCACATACGGAACTTTTTCTTTTTGCTAAAACATGGTTGGTTTAGTTTTGCATATTATACAAACTTAACCAATTGTGGTATACACAGTAAACAAGAGTTAAATAAACCATGGTCTTGTGAAATGTGTTAGGCTAAGTCACAGGTATCAACTTCTTGAAAATCTGTCACCTTACAAATTTTGATCTTCTCCTGTGGGTGCCCATGCAGCAGCAGTAAGTTGTAGTGGCCCATGGGTGGATAAGTTGTAGGAAGACAATTAAGGAGCTGCAGCACAAATTTCACCATAGCTTTAAATGGACTAGAAGGGAAGAACAATCCACCCAATTCTCTCCTACTCTTAAGTAAAGTAAACTTGAGGTTAATTCATGGGTTGGAAAGAAAACACAAGAATGTGAACAGTACAAGAAGAGTTAAGAAAGGCCATGGAAATTAAAGACTACAGACACAGAACAATTTTTGGTTTC